GGCAAGCATTAAAAAGGTTAACTACGTAAATGAACAAAAGACATCGTTTCTACACATCATTACTAAGGGACAACATCAAAAGTTCAATGTAGGATAAAAAAACTTACTGTAAAATGACTAATTTTCACTGGGTTTAAATTTCACTGATTTACCATTTCAGGCATATTCAGTGGGTTTTAAATTCACGGTTTTGTCATTTAGATAATGTGTTCTATGCTAAATGTTACATATTCACTGTGTTTTAATTTAGCGCATTTTTCCAGTCAGCGAAATAAGCTAAATTAAAACCCAGTGAACAATTACCCCCTTTACAGTAATTCCTTTAGTCCCCCCCCCCCACTGAAACTACATTCACCATTAAATACAAATTGATAATCGGACAGTAGTATGGCATAGCAGTTGGTTGTCGGGTGGGTGTAAAAAGACTTTACTATTTTCTCGTCTTGGATGTTTTGTTTTTCACTTTCTGGTATTTTTGTTCATGATTGTATAGAAAAAAAACGAACTACAAATACTCCAAGATTTTTTTGACTTCATTAATGAATAAAATCGTTTTTGAAGGATGGAAACTTTTTGAGGTCAACCCCCCCCCCCACCCCCAAACTAAAGGAATTAAGTTTTTTATCCGACATCGATCTTTTGACGTCGTCCCTAACACATTCAATCATAAACGATCCAAGAGTTGCTAACAATAACATTGAACATGTATTGCAATCGCCAGGCTGTTTTGTTGAGATGGTAGCGGCTACTTCGAAGATACAAGTTACGGTACATATTAAAAACAATACACTAGATTAGTGAGTTTACATACATACTAATATATCTTGTGAAGATCCATCAAATCAACGCCTCTGCGTAAACAAAACACAACGTGAACAGGAAGAGCTGCCATTTTGAAATTATCATGCGCCCTCTTTGGCAGATAACGCATTGATTTTGTTTTTGTTTGTTGGCTGGGTGGTGACAACATAATCTTCAGAATTACTCAAAATAAAAATAACGGCACAATATCTTAATTTTGTTTAATTTTACAAAAAAATAATAACAGAATAGAAGAGAAAGTGTTGAAATCGTATGGCTACTGTTTTTTTAAAAAAAGGCATAAAAGGGAAAGAGGAGATTGAATCATTGATGGCACAGAAAAACAAGTACAATTTTAAAAAAAATGTTAGACACATTAATGACCATAAACAAATCTCATTCAAAATTCCCAAATTTGTGATCATCACATTCATTAAAAGTACAATCATAAATGTAATTTCCAAGTTTCTTGTTTTAGTTTTTCAATAAAAAAAGAGGTTAGATGAGACGGCTACAATCACCGTCACATCTAACGGCTACAGTCACCGTGACAAATCAATTTAAAAGACCGTTAACCTGGTAACATCGAAACTATATGTTTTTTATCTTCGAAATCTATCTCGAATGCGAATGATTGATAAAATATATAATGAATAAATAAAATCTTTGCCAGTTTTGATGAACTTCCACGCATAAGATACGAGCTTAGGGCTCTTAACGAATAAGGTCAACATTTTTTTTACTATAGGTTCAGTTGCGATAGGGGCGTGAATCTGCATGATTGCTGAAATGGGCGCGTGACTGAGAGTAACCAGTAATTTGAATCTATAAATAACATTTTAAGGTAGAAGTCTACTCATATTTTTTGACAAAATTGGTTATAAATCACAAGACAATGTTTATTAGTTTATTATGTCAGTACAATCATCATGATGCAAATGTCCCATAGTACAATGAAATAGAATTATTTTGTGTGTTACAGTTATGCTTTTTGAGAAACGTGTCCTAATATTTCTTGAAAATCCAGTTCCGAAAATCGCTATTTTTAGAACAATTCTATAGAATACAATATTAAAGAAAAAAAGAATTTATTTTCACTTTTTAATATCCAGATTTTATAAATAATTCAGAACAACAACCATCACTTTCTCGAAAATAAGACGGGTGACCCCTAACTTTTTTTACGTCAATATTGCCTTGGGGTACAGTTTATTGCAAAATGAATAAATTCTGGGTATTTTAATTTATGAGTAGGTTTCTACCTTAAAGACTTTGAGTTTCATATTAAAACCCCCGGATGTAGTTTCACATTAAAACCCCCGGATGTAGTTTCACATTAAAACCCCCGGATGTAGTTTCACATTAAAACCCCCGGATGTACCAATGTGGGTATTTCTAAACAACATTCAATGCTAAACCTTGAGCTGAGAAAGCCACTAGATTGGATGAAGGCTTGACATCCCGTCACCAACACGCTACTTCAAAATAATTGCACATTACCCAGGGAAACATTATCACCAAAAAGTGTATTACATTGATAAACTAGGAGATAATGCATGAACTATATCAACAATTTATGCATTGAGATAGAACAAGTTATTGTTGAAAACGCGAAACTCCCTGCCAGTGAGTGCATGCTTTCTGATGGGAATCCGGTGTTGCTCAAAAAACACATTCCATATTCCGACGTCAGATCGGCCCATGTTACACCAATGGTTGTGTGATGAGATTTGTTTTTGGAAACGTTTTTACACCAGAATGAAAAGTTTTCCAAGGTAACATTCAAACTCGAAACTTGTCTATTGTGCACAAACAGAAGAACATCCTGAAACACAAGGCGCGACTCCTAAATAATAGTTTATATAAACATAGCTAAACAGAAATCTCTAAAATTGTATAAATGTTAAAAAGTTTAGATTGTTGAAATTTAAATATTTAAACTGTCGGTTTATATTTTTAGATGTTTCTAAATAGGAAAAACATAATCCACACACTTGTATACGACCAAATTATATTGCATTTATATGAACTGATATTTGTTTAGTTAATTTAAAACGAGGCACACCATCTTGAATTATATTTAACAAGTCAGTAAATATGCTACATCAATCTTTCACTGGTGACAATTGAGTGTGCTCGACTCTGGACTTAATCTAAACATGTCACAGTTCAACACACTACAGAAAAGAGAGCACGTGCTGAGAAACGCAGGGATAGGTTGCTTTGCAGACATTCCTTATAAGGAGGTGAACCTGCGCTCTATTTATACGTCGCAGTCGTTTACATTAAAGGCACTCATACCTTTTCACACCTCATTCACCTACCGTTGGGTAGCATTGTTTCAACTGGAACCACTTGTTCAGACATCCCTTTGTTCACACGTGACATTTGACTTCGATGCTGAATCTAACCAGCGTCGAGATAAGGTTAATCTGTCCACACGTGCTTTTCAATATTGGAATAAATCACAGTCACTGTACTAGTAGACTAGTAGAGTGACTGTGGCTAAATTAACTCTGTGTCGAACCCCGCGTTTTGCTACACACATGAATGTTGAAAATGCATCGGGTTTCTCAAAAAATTCACGTTGGAATAAGGTGTGTTTGTATAAGTTCAAATGCTCAAGTACTTGTAATATGACATTTTTGGTCAACATTGAAATTGTGTACTTTTGTACCAAACCTACATTCTCTCTATTGCAAGAATTTCTATCTCAAATGAAATTAAAGATTGTTTTGATGACCTAATTCATGTATTTGTATGCATTTTGCATAATTAATGACGCCATTAAACAACTGTACACATACTTTGTGGAATACCTCCACATCGGTCTGCACATTTCGCTGTTTGCAGAACATTGAAGTTATATTGCTTTGTATTACCATTTGAACCATAGACCCTCCAGTAGACTGGAGGGTCTATGTTTGAACACAGATTATTTAATGAATGACATAGACAGGTTATGTAGATTAGCATTCCCACCTCAGCAACAAATTGAAGTCAGCATTGCTTCAACCAAGATTTCTGATATTTTCACGCATGCATTTCATACATATTCCCTAATATAAAGTGTCTCTATTATTGGATAACATTTTTGATAACATGTTTTGATGACCTAATTCATGTATTTGTATGCATTTTGCATAATTAATGACGCCATTAAACAACTGTACACATACTTTGTGGAATACCTCCACATCGGTCTGCACATTTCGCTGTTTGCAGAACATTGAAGTTATATTGCTTTGTATTACCATTTGAACCATAGACCCTCCAGTAGACTGGAGGGTCTATGTTTGAACACAGATTATTTAATGAATGACATAGACAGGTTATGTAGATTAGCATTCCCACCTCAGCAACAAATTGAAGTCAGCATTGCTTCAACCAAGATTTCTGATATTTTCACGCATGCATTTCATACATATTCCCTAATATAAAGTGTCTCTATTATTGGATAACATTTCTGGAATGAAATGAATCGTGCTTTCAATGACATAATCAGTACTGTAAAACAACTTTATTTTAGCTGCAATACACTTTTGTTGGATAAGATATTTTAGCTGTATGTATAAAGTTTATTTTCACTGATTTTTGGTTATTTGAATGTAAAATTTAGAAAAATAAGTTCCCTGGATTTTATTGGCACGGATTCATTCAACATATTTTTTACAGTAGATTATTCAAAAATTCTGAAATCGATAATTTAAATGATTATCAACGAAAAATGACGACAAATAAATAATATTGTGTAGACATATTGTTTTCTTAAATCTACTGAAGTGTTAATTTTGATAGACATTACCCCCTTATATTTCTTTGGGTTAAAAAAAACAACAAAAAGTGACATGTTTGGGACAAATGAAACAAAAACATGGTTTTATTTGAAAATAAATATAATTTTCATATCTTCAATTATATTGTTACCATAAAGTATATAACATTAGATAGTAAAATGTGATTTTCACTGAGAAACACAGGTTTGAATATAAGTATTGGTTTCATGTTTATGGATGGACCATAAAACATACGGGAAATAGTAGTGATATGCCCGGGCACTTGAAATCTGCGAAGAAGAAATGGTATACTTTTCTAAGTGGAATGTCCATGTGTCACACGCAACGTAATATTACCGTAATTGGTATAGTACAGGTGTGATGGTTCAAATACCAAAATGGCAACAGTAACAGAAAGACTTCCCTGGCGGCGATGATAAAATACGAACACGAAGCCAACATATGAGGTTTCAACTGGTACTGGTATTATTATACTCTGCAAACATCAAGTACAATAACGCGGTAAAACTCCACTACTCCAATGACTAGATACTTAAACTCCAATACAATTCAACGAGATCTCCGATCTGAACTCGGTGCTGAACAACTCCCCTATATATACCCCCACTGTCTATAAATAGACCATTACATCAGCATACATAATGAGTCTGGAACTTACTACCAATTTCTAGAATGTTCCATTACCTTCTATTGCCTCCTACAGTGTTCTATTACCTATTCAACCATTTTCTAAAAAAAATCTAGAATATTCCACCCAGACACAGTACGGTTCTAGAACATTCTCAGTGACACGGAAGTGGTAAATAAGTCGTATGCGACACCATGAAAATCCGAAAAAACGCACGTTTTAAAGAACTGACATCTACTCATAGGTCAAGCAGAACTACAAGAGACAATAATATAGTTTTGACAGTGGAAAACCACGTTTTTTATGTTGTTGAACATGGTCCAGCAATCATATCAAATGCATACACACACTCGTACAAAACGAGAATGCAGCCTTTATCTAAAATAATGGTGTTTTGATTTTTCCAAAAGTCCGCGTTTTAATAGGAAGGGGGATAAATTTTATTTTTAAAATCACTTTATTACACTTATTAAGCTTGGATACAGTTAATTGGGATTACAATTGAAATGTGCGTATTCGTAATACTTCAACAGACAATGTCATGTAATGATGCTAATGGTTTTGTTGTTGAAATCTACCAATTAATTGCCTAGAAATAATCATCCTTTGTATCTGGGCTGTTCCTTCATAAATCTACAAAAAACAAACAAACATGTGTTAACAGCGTTGCATATTCAAATACATAATCCCCAAATAGCGCCGACAAAGACTTGTAATACACATCTTTGTGATTACCTGGAATATTTTAGCATCTCTCATCAGTTTCTCCACTGGGTAATCGCTATTAAACCCGTATCCACCAAATATTTGTACAGCATCAGTGGCACATTTATTTGCCACATCCGCGGCCAATGCCTTAGCAATTGAAGCATAGTACGTGTTGCGCTCTCCCTCGTCAGTCTGCAAAGCAGCACGGTATACCATAGATCGTGAAGACTCTATACCAATGGCCATTTCTGCTAACATAAAAGCCACTGCCTGATGCTATATAATACAAATACAATACATAAATTATATGCAAGTTAATCACCTTCTTAGAAAACACGTTGTACCAATCTTGGCCACTCGTTTCTTTGGCTGGTTAATGTATATTTTTCATAGTTGTTCAGCATTATGCAAATATTAAATTTAAAAAAACATAATACTATTCATATAACAAATGAACAAATTATTTAAATGCAAGTGTACAATGTGTTTGGGCAATTTGTAACAGTCAGCTAATATCACATGAAGTCATAGGTTCCAATTTCTCTTCTAATATAGACTTAAGGTGCAACATATGCCAACGTGTTAAAAGATGATAATTCAAAGAAACACATATTCAAAAGACGATTCCGTTATCGCGCGTTTTCGAAGAAGTTATGAAATGATGAATAGACCTTTATATGTATATTAGCTACAATGCTACGAGGTGCGTATGTTGATCAATGGTATACTTGGAAGACAGAGATTACCACCTCTATCTTATGTACATGCACTGGCAGTTGTAATATCATGCTTTTCGACAGAAATTTTTATTCAAACGAATGGACATTATAATCCAGGAAAAAGACACTAACTAAGCAGTACAATCATCAACTGGCAGAACCTGCACCAATTCTCTAATATAGATAATAACCTGTAACATAATTAACTTACCAGCCTAAAATTACACAAACCAATGCTCTAACATTGATATTAACCTTTACTAATATCAATTACTATGAACATAACCATTCTACCAATGATACTAACCTCAGCAATTAATTTGCCCATTGTTCGTCGTTCCAGAGAATATTTAGTTGCTTCATCCAATGCTCGTCGGGCTAGACCAACGGCACCTGCAGCCACCTGTAATGAGAATCACTATATTATTATTACATTCTAATAATTTAACAAAATATAAATACCCTTTATTTAAAATGACAACATTATTATAATATTTTTTACCGGTGGTCTTGTCTTATCAAAAGCTCCCATGGCAATCTTAAATCCAGCTCCTTCACCCAATAATACATTTTCTTTAGGTACAACAACATCTTCAAAAGTAATGCCACGTGTATCACTACTACGCTGTCCCATGTTCCACTCCTGGATTAAACATAATCATGTTAATGACATTAGGTGTTGTTAGATTTCCATGATTATCAATCATGATATTTGAGAACTGAAACCAATCAGTGTAGTTTGCCATTATTGTTTATGGAATACATATGATAAACCTTAACAATCGCAATCTATATATTTATTAGAATATTTTATTCATAACAGGATAAGCCATATTGAATACCTTTCTACCTGGTGTTAGTCCAGGTGTATCTCTGTCCACTATGAACCCTGTAAAAGCTCCACTTGCAGGTTGTTTAGGATCAGTAGACGTTCTGGCGAGTACGAAATACCAGTTTGCATATCCAGAATTTGTTATCCACATCTTTTGTCCATTTATAACATAATGGTCACCCTTTTTTTCAGCTCTAGTTCTAATTCCGGCAACGTCAGATCCACCACCTGGTTCTGTTACACCATATGACTGAAATGTAAAAGCCTTGACTCAGTAACTCAAATTGAACCAACTCGTCCAATTGATACAAATTGTAGTAATCATTGTACCACAATATCCGTGTTATTTTAACACTAATCAAGTCTGAATCAACCAATCAAGTTGCACCACATACTAGGATTACGAGGCACAACAAAAATACATAATTAGTTATCAAATAATAATAATAAACATGTCAATGATTATTCAAAAATAAATCCCAAGAAATACATTGTATAATTTCTAATATTATTTCCTAATCTATTCACTTCGAATAAAGTACATAAACTTTATTTTCCAAGTAAATGTAATATTCACATATATAGTAACTGGTAAATGCAACAACATACACAGAAGAGCGGTTCTTCTAACATTCTTCCAAGATATTTCTTCTTTTGTTCCTCATTTCCAGCCAAGATTACAGGCATTTGCTGTAATAAATTGATTTTTTTAGTTTTTAGTTAATTTCTTTTTCATTACACGAATAGAAACAGCTACAACTTTGTTTACAAACAATTGGAGTGTGGTGTTCACATCAACAGCGCATGTCAGTTCTTGGTGACAGATAGTGTTTTTATGGTGTAAAGTGGTGATGGGTATGTCAACGCTAGCAGCACGTTTTGTTCACAGAAGCGTTGTTTCGTAGTATGTATTGTTCACATCACATTCCGTGGCTTTAAATTGATGTTGGTTGTTTACCATGTATTATATGTTAATGATAGTTGTAGTGTTCATTAAACTTTGCTACTATTGGATTTTATACACACTTCATTGTATACTTCCTTCCGATACGTCTCTTAACACAAAATTGTTCACCACTGTGTTTCTTTCTAGCGTGAACTGTTTACTGAAGTGTTTTTTACTGTCGGCAGTGCTATTCTGAATTGTTCACCACAATTAGATTTTTGTTCGCCGAAGTGTATTTCTCGAAAGCTGAATGACCTATAATGGTTACTCGGTGCACATTTTGTCAGTAAGATGATGGACTATTCTTGTAAAACACAAAAAAGTGAAACATACATGCCCTAGCAAACGTGGTGACAACTGACACATACTTACAGCAAGAGTATTTGCTAGAACTGTCGTACTAAATCCAGTACAGCCATATGACAACTCTTCCATTGCAATGCAAGCTTCTACTATATTTAATCCAGGACCACCTGAGGAAATATTGATAACAAATGCAAATGTATAGTAAGTAAATAATCGAGTAGTGTAATAACTGAACAGGTCACCAATGGATGGATGTATCATGTAGATAACGTCAAGTTTGTATTTTGTTTAATGCTTAATTCTTTATTTTAAAACAATGTAAACAAGGAGCCTCCCCAGTTAGCAATGCACATTTCAATTGAAGAACTGAAGATATCACTAGAAAATGAACAAATCTGAAAGAGGTATATCCGAGGTACCTACATATATAACATCAAAACAATTGGATTTGCAGTTTTTAACAAGAAGTCGAAAATATAACTTTTTACCAAAAATGATACAATTATCCATCAACATTAGAGAATTGAAGATATCATCACGAAATGAACAAATCTCAGAGAAGTCTGCCCAAGGAACATATACACCAAGTATCAAGGCAAAAACTATTGTAGTTTTCAAGAAAAAGTCGAAAAAGTAAAAAGTTGAAACGGACGGCGGACGACGACGGACAATCACTCATATGATAAGCTCCGCTCGACAAAGTCGACAGCGAAGCTAATACTGCTCGATAGTTTTATAGTAGTTTTTGAGCTTTTTTCTTTCTCGTATAATTTACTGTTTATAAGTAGTTGTATAATACCAGTGTGTGTGTCAAAGCAGATCAGACATGGTTGTATATGCAAGTAAATGTATTTAGTAATTTTATGGCCCACGTAACAATGATTGAATTAGCAAACAATACCTACCATACTCTTCAGGAATTTCGGGATTCAGCAGACCCAGTTCCCATAACTTTTTTAGTGATTCTTTGGGAAACTGGAAACAAAAATATGAAAATAATGTTTATTAATTATTAAACCATGTGTACTCGTAATTAGTACAATTACTTTCCGTATTGATTCGTTGTTTGTAGGCTTTCAACTTCATTTTATGGTATGGACACTTTTATTACATATACATGTATGGGCAAATTATGTCTATATATTTGTGAAAGATTTGCAGGACATCTAAACTAGCAACCAGTTATTTAGTGACACATCTAGTGACAACTATAAGTAGTAACTAAGTTTTACCAACTTTTCAAGAACTGATTAGTTATCACCAACTTGGGTCACACAATCATAACTGTTATTTCCAACTGTAGTGACAGCTATGACTAGTAACCATTTAATACTAACATTACTAGTAACATATTTGAAGGGGAACAATTTTTAAATAAATATAAAGATCGATGTCAATATGTTCCAATTTGCGATCTATTTGTCTGCATGGAGATGGTGTGTATTGCTGCATCCCTCATTTCATTTTTCAATTCACCCACCGAGTGTAAATTTATTGATTTTATTTCAACAATTAGCTGTATTTACTTTTCGCGCATTGACATTTAGTGACGTGAATATCTGGATTTGTTTCAAACATAACCAGTGTACATAACCATGTTCCTGACATTTATAATTTATAAATAACATGGTCAAGGCCTTAGATTAAAAATGACCTATAAGGACCAGTTAGCAGAGCCCTAACACGACGACGAAAAGGACAGTCTCTCAAAAAACATAGTGAACGCAACGATTTGAGACTACATGCACTACGTAATAACAGTGAACAGTCAAATCTTCAGAAAGTTATATATACAAAACAAACTATTATAGTAAGTACCTCCCCTGCTTTATCCCATTCTGCCGCTTTTGGTATGATTTCTTCTTTTGCAAACTTACGACATAGTTCTTGGATCTGTTGTTGTTCGGGGCTGAATTCTGCACACAAAAGAAAATTAAATATTATAGCAACGGATAAAGGGAAATATGGTGCTGATTGAATGCCATTTAGTTGTGAGATTAAGCAAGAAATAACTAATTTATCCTCAAATATAAATAAAAAATGTTTTATCACGTATAATCTACTTGTAAATTGCTTCTCAATGCTTTCTACCGAGACATGTTTATATGCGAGTAATAGTCACGGGAGAATTGTTGCATAATTTAAACAAATATTTCTCGGTAGTTCGTAACGTCAACGATATGGCGTAGTACGTCAACTGTACTGTGTAGTATGTCAAGAGTATGGTGTAGTACGTCAACAATATGGTGCGGTACGTCAACGATATGGTGTAGTATTGTGTAGTATGTCAAGAGTATGGTGTAGTTCGTCAAACAGACTGTGTAGTACGTCCGGTGTGTGGTGTAGAGCGACAACAGTGTGGTGTAGTACGTCAACTACTGTAAAAGGGTTAATTATTCACTGGTTTTTAATTTTGCTTATTTCACTGACTGGAAAATGCGCTAAATTAAAACCCAGTGAATATGTCAAAATGAGCATAGAACACATTATCTAAATGATAAAACCGTGAATTTAAAACCACTAAATACACCCGAAATGCTAAATCAGTGACATTTAAACCCAGTGAAAATTAGTTATTTTACAGTATATGATGCGGTACGTCAACGAAAAGGTGTAGTATTGTGTAGTATGTCAAGAGTATGGTGTAGTTCGTCAAACACACTGTGTAGTCGGTCAACTGCATGGTGTAGTACGTCAACTGTATGGTGCATTCCGTCAACCGTATAGGGTCGTACGTTGTCATAATTCCAAGACAAATACTGATAAAAAATTATTTGTGTAGCTTGCAAAACAAATATGACATTTTCAATAATAAAATAGAGTTCGAAATGAGTGATGTCGTCCAACAAATTCAAAGGTCGGAGGCCGATTGACCTACTCAAAATGCGATAAGCGAACAAGAACCCAAATCTATGCTTCCATTGATTGACTTCTAGACAGAGTTGTAATGTGTGTTTTTTATTCACATAAAGTGGACACATTTCACCGTGCACCTTTAAAAGATGAAATAGGTTTTCATGTTGACATTATATCGTTTTACATTGATCGCAAACTAAATTAATGATGTTCCAGAAGTTTAAAATTCGATAACGGACAAGAGGTTTAGCAATCGCCATGCACATCCAACTCTACCTTTAGTATAGGTTCATGTTATGTCGTTAATTGTATAATATCACTGACTCACCAAAACACAATTTATTATCAGACTGGGTCGATGAGCAGCGTATAGATCCAACTGATGACAGCTTTGTCAAATTCTGAAAACAAATCGTTCATATTTTAATACATATATTACGTAACTACACATAAAACCAAGTTACCAGTAATAACTGAAAGAAACCCACTATTTAGGGCATAAAGCTGTCACCTAGATTATAGACGTATTTATATAAAAAATTATTTAAATATAGATCAGAAGCTTTCATTCAAATATTTAATTATGATTGGCTCGAGAGCTAAACATTTTCTACACCCATAATGCGCTCGCATGTTTTCAGGTGAAACGGTCCTCCCTTCCACGTCAAGAAAATCCAATACTAAGTACGTGGAATACTAGCTTTCGTGTCCAGGGAACACATTACCATGTTCCCATTACTACCTTACATGTCTAGGGCGCCCAACACTTTCTATACATTTTAATCTTTTACTGTTTTTCACCCCTAGGGAGCCCAATATTATTTATCATCGTAACAGTATGCTACAGTCCATGTCTCGGTTCCATATGCTACATTCTGTACACAGGAAGCGCATACTAATTCCATGCCTAGGGAGCCTCTGCTACCTTCCAAGCCTAGAGAGTCTCGCCAATCTCTCAAGCATATTCGTGTAAACTGAAGGTCGCAAACCATCTAACAATTCATCAGTGGATCTGCACATGGTCATACTGAACAACCTTATTTCTTTCTTTTCACGATATTGTTACGCAGAGAGTCAAAATCCAATTACGGTAGCTGTGAATGTTGGTATATGTTTTTTTATTATCCGTGCTTAAGAAACAATGGAGCTAAAAAAAATAGACCATGAAGAAACTAACTTGAAATGATTTTCTTGTACGTGATAGCATTGCCGTATATACAAATTTATTTAGTGGGTTGTGATCTGAATAGACACTCGTTAACGGCTAAGCACTGGCCTCGGTAACGTTGTACACTATACCACCGTCACCAACACGGTGTTGAGGTACGGTAACCCACCAATGTATTGAAAACAAGTGGCATACGCTTCCGGTGTTACACTCCAAATATAATGCACCACTTCGTATGTTGGTACATTTAACAGATGATATACATGTACTTACCACAGGGCACAGGAAGCGAGTGAAGCTGCGCAAAGCCATTTTTACTGGACTACAATGTCTGACCCGTATAAACTTTAAACCTAATACCCTTGACCTTTGAACAGTCGCGATCGTAATTCGTCACGTGACCCAAGCACGTAACGTTCATTGGTTCCCATGATCACGGGATATATGCACCCTTTTATCCACAGATTAAAACTCACTATGACTTTTTGAAGACTAGACGTTAATTTTATCATTTTGTGAAAATTCGAACATCTTCAGTGTAACATACTCACAAACTGGTGGAGAAAACCTCAACTGAAAAAATATTATTTTGCAGGGGTTATTGGCACGTGTTTTGTGTATAATAATGAAGAATGACTGATAATGTATTTGACTGGTAATTACTTTGCTTTTAACTTGTAAGTTAGATCAAAACGTGCAGAGAACTCACACTACATTCCAATCCCAAGGAGACTTACCGAAATTGTCATCTAAGCGTTAGGCCGTCACTGATTGGCTGCTGAGCTGGAATGTCAATTTTTAGTTTTAAATACCCCGGCTTACTGTTCTAGGTTCTTCGCGTAATTAGGTGTTCGTATGCAAGGGATTTTTCCACACAAAAACGACGAATTCGGCCGAATTTTGTTATCGGTTGGCTTAATATAACTCAAACGGACCGTATTTTTGTGAAAGATTGGTATTTTTGTCTTGATTTGTAGGAATCTGAAAAACGCGTTTCACAACTTGTCTCTTATTTAGTTTTATGCGTCGTTCAAGATGGCGGCCCCCATTTAGTAAATATCGTAATTATTTTATTATCACGTGTGCGCCAGCTGACTGTGAGTATTACCACACAGTTTATGTGTTATGTCCATATGAGTGTTATTTTGAGGACTTCGGTAGGCGTGGTGTTTATATTAACATCTAGTGGGTATAACTTAGTAACCAGGCGACTAGTAAGTCCGTTAGCGTTTCTAATATGTGTAGATCGAATTATACCATCATAAACACGATCTAAGGCCGCAGAAAAATGACAGACGAATGATGAAGTTTAGCGCAAACAAACAATTCGTCACACCGAATGATGACGAATTACGCTGTCAATGGACAGTGTTATGTAATTAACTATTCTCTCGCATCATCCGGGCATTTAAAGTCCGTGATTTTGTTCCCGATCATTGCGTTCCTAACATCGGCATCCCAAAACAATACTGACATATATATATATATATAATTAACTATATATATATATTCGTTGTGCAAATGAAAAAAAATAACAAACGACTAGAAATATGACATACTTTAAGTTACAGCTTTACAGAAACGGAACATGAATAATAATTTTCTTCAATTATACGTATTCTACATGTTTTTCTCATTTATTTTGCCACTACATACGGCGCTACGGTGTATAATAATGTTTTGTATTACCATTTGAACACACATTACGTAATAAATTACATAGATAGGTTTTGTAAATTAGCATGCCCTGACCTTTCCAAAATCAACAACATTTTCACGTATGTATTTCATACATATTCCCTAATATGAAGTGTCTCTAGTGTTGGATAACATTTCTGGAATGAAATGAATCGTGCTTTCAATGACAAAATCAGTACTGCAAAAATAATTTATTTTATAGATATTTTAGCTGTATGTATAAAGTTAATTTTTCACTGATTTTTGGTTATTGGAATGTAAAATTTTATCGGAAAATCTATGTAGTTGTCGTATTATTTCAAACGCTGCCGCCATCAAACAGACTCTTACCACATATTGTTCATGGCTGGTATTAATAGAGGGATTACGTAACATCCTGTGTGTAGATAGTTTTAATGCCGCTTCATGTCTGACTTTATATTTAGTATTAGTTGTTTACTTCAACTGTATAAACAACACATGTTAATTATCTCTGTATTACTAAGAAATAAAGCAGTTCTTCTTTAGGTTTGAAACAGTCAACATTGCCTTGTTTTACTCTCTCGCACACACATACGTCGAACCTTTTTCCACAAATTTAGAAAGAAGATACAATTTTTATTTAACAGTATATTTAGTTTATTCAAAAATTCTGAAACCATAATTTAAATGAATATCACCGAAAAACTACAACGAATAAACAAATATTGTTAGACAAAGTATTTTTTAAATCTACTGAAATGTTAATTTTGATAGACATTATCCATCTTATATTATTTTTAGTTTAAAAAAAATGATATGTGTAAGATAAATAAATCAAAAACATGGTTTTATTTGAAAATGAATACAATTTTCAGATCTTCAATTATAGTGTTAACATAAAGTATACAGCACGTATATAGATGGTTAAATGTGAAACACAGGTGTAAATATAAGAATGGTTTCATGTTAAGAATGGCCCATAAAATTATAATTAATATTGATCAGAATTTAAATTATCATCATCATGTTAGTGTTCTGTGTAAACGGGCAGGCGCCCAATTGAAAGTTTAGCAAAGAATGTCGGGTTATTCAGATCAAGCCTCAAGACTATGTATATTTAGATGTTTTATTTTATCACATTTTACTTATTGTTCTTTAGTTTGGAATTTTTGTGGTAAAGCAAACATTGCTAAGATGGAGCGTATTCAATACAGAGCTCTGAAATTTGTGTACAATGATTTTCAGTCCAGCTATCAAACTTTATTTGAACGTGCTGGACTACAAACACTAGAGATGTCCAGGAATCGTGACATACTTGTTGAAGTTTATAAAAGTGTGAACAAATTCTCTCCCCATCTTTTACGTGGGATTTATACAAGGAGAAAAATGTAATGTCCAATTTAAGAAATTTTCATCAATTACAGTTAAAACGACCAAGGACTAAACGCTATAGACTGGAGTCATTATGTTATTATGGTGCTAAAATGTGGAATTCGCTTCCTAATCGAATAAAGGAGTGCAAAGATTTGTATCCTTTTAAGCAAATGGTGTCAATGTGGTCACCATCATTTTAAGATATTTAATTGATTATTTGTGAAATCTTACTGTTGTTTTTCTCTGTGTTTGATGTTTGTAATTTTTGCTTTTGTTTGATGTAATTTTGGCTAGGTATTTCAAACTGACTTTAAATGAACGAATTGAATAAAACATACGGGAGATAGTAGTGATATGCCCGGACCCTTGAATTGTGCGAAGGAGAAAGGGGTAATAGTATTCCAGGTTGACACATCCGTTGACTCACAAACACTCGAACTGAACGAGAAAACATTGTTTCTCTAAAACAAGAGTGTTTTGATTTTTCCAAAAGTCCGCGTTTTATTAGGGGGTGGGTGTGAATGCCGGGTAATAAACTGACCTAGGAAGGGAGTAGTCGAAGTTCATTGGTAGGATACACATAGACACTCCTTATTACACTTTATTAAGCTTGGTTACAAACAGTTATTGGAATTTCATCTGAACGTTAATGTGCGTATTCGTATGGTAATACTTAAGGTAGCGGGACTATTATTTGCATACTTGTTTTCATCTTCTAATTGTGACTAAATGACTACAAATAGACCCGGGAAAGTATATATTTTTAGAATCGCCAGACTTCAAGCTTTTCACAAGTGTATTTTGCATGCCCGTATCTGCATTCTACGACGCGTTACTCAATCAAAGGTGAAAAATTACTTTTTCTGTAAAATAAATAATTACGCATTTATGCTGGCGGTAAGAAGTATTTTTTTCACTTTTCCTAGTTGTTCAATAGTCTGGTAAATTGAATGTGTCTGGTCAGTTTTATTCAAGCAACGCGTTTTAAAAAATAGTGTGCTGAATTTCAATTACTGTTTTAGTCGCATTGCCCCCAACTCAAACCACAACTCGTTGGTAAATAATCGATGAAATAGTTTGTCTGGACACATTCAAGTTCCTCTCATTGTCACCTTAAAGCTGTGAAAATTTGGTGTTAATCCGACGACAATAAGTATACGTTATTTTTTGTTAAAGACCTTGTATTTGAAAAACATAA